AAAAGGCGGGCTCAAACCCGGCAGCGGGCCAACCGCTCCCGGCCCGGCCCGGCCCACCGGGACAAAAAACAAAAAAACCTGACCCTTAACCGGACCGGATTGGCCGCGGTTCGGTTCGAGCAACCGGCACTATTCATGCCGGTACCGGTACCGGGTCACGGGTCGGGCCACGGGCCGGGCCGCCCGTGGCCATGTCTACCACAGTAGAAAGGTCAGAAGGTCGGATGTAAAACCTAAGGGTCCATTTGATAAAATAGTAAAAGGAAGGAAGAATCCAAGTGAGAAGGAAAGAATCACTTGCTCAAGGACTCCTACCATGATAGAGATGTGGTAAGTTAGGAAAATAGAATCCGACTGGATCTTTTTTCCTTACAAGAACTCTCTTCAGCCCTAATTTATTGAGTCCTATATAAGGATGACATGTTTTCTCTTATCACCAACACATATTCCACACCTTATTTCATATATTCTTAAAGTACACGATTGTGTGAGTTCTGACTTGAGCGTCGGAGGATTTTCTGTCGGGACCTCTTCCCGGCGTATTGCAGATCATCGGAGGCTCAAGAAAGAGGATAATTTCAGGCAGAAGGTGTTCAATTTGTTCGTGACCAAATGTGACCTAACAATTGGCATTGCCTGTGGAAAATCTCAATCTTCTACCGACTCTAAGGGGTTGACAATATCGACTATGAAAGCAACAGATTCAATAAATACATCAAAGGGTAAAAAAATCCGAGTCATGAAGGCCTTCCAGAACAAGAAGTTCACAACAAGAAGTACGGAAAGGTTGCATAAGTCTACATTGAACGACCAGATACTATTCTAAGGCCAGAGGATACTGGGGGCGTCTTTCTCCCACATAGCAATGCCTTGGTCATAATTGTAGAAATCAAGAGCTACGTGGTGTGAAGGATCATGGTAGGCAAGGGCATCTCGGTTGACGTAATCTTCCTCCATTGTTTGGAACGAATAGGCCCTGATATGTTACCTTTATTCACGATCGGATTGAACACCTTTATTCTATCATGGAAATAGTCCTTGAGCTAGTGACTATTTCCTTATTTCTTGGATTCTTTCACCCTTTTAGTGTTTTAACCTGGGGTTCCTTATAAGGTTGTGAACTCGACCTCTCATCCTGCCTGTTATGGCCCTTCTAAAGACGTCCTTGACCTTATCCCGAGATTTAATCAACCTTACCTGTAGGTCAAATTTGTCCCAAAGCTACCCGGCCTTCATATGTGTCAAGGTCAGCTACTTTACAAGGCTCCTAGATGCCTGTACCTCCACTACTTGGTCGAACACTTTTTCTCTTATCTTATAGAAGTTCTCCTAGTTCGGCCATAGCCGAGCTACTCTCTCAGACCAACCAACGTACTGAGTTGTTTTTTGTGTGCTATATCATGCCTAAAGGTTAAGGTGCCAAAAACAGCCACCCGCTACTTCTTTTCCATGTTAATAACACCTAATCTAATGACCAAATTGGGAAATTATTTATACGAACGCTGACTTTAGGATTTTTTGAGTGTAGACAATTGGACAATTCATTTTTTTGATCAAACATTTACAGCGAAAATTTAGCTTCAATGTTTGTGGATCGAATGTCATTGGGCATAACTTAGGGCCAACTAATAATCTGGACCAACAATTTTTTAGCACAATTTTACCCATCGAAAATAGTAAGAACACGAGGAACGTGAACAGATTTTGACAAGATGTGTTTGAATTATTTTCAGTATATTTGGAAGGAAATTTGACCTTCCCTAATTAAGGAATTCCAAACTGTAGAGTATTCTTACATGCATATATTGTCATCTTCTATTAGGATATGAGGCCATTAAAATTGTCCAATCCCATTTTCTACATTCGAAACGCACCTCAACCTAACTAAAGCATAATAGCAGATCACTTGCCTTTATAACTAGTACGTAGCCCGTGCGATGCACGGGTGGGGATGTTAAATGACATTTTCATAGAGTTTGTGCGTTTAGGCCTGAAAAATAGTAGAATTGGATCCTTTATTTTTTATCCCTTTTAATCAGCGTTGTTTTTTTTAGTCATAACGTTAAATGTGAGCACATTAGCCCTAGTCTATAAATTAACTAATATATTATCATAAAATATTTATACTAATATAAATTTGGTTTTAGTATATAAATTTATTCTTTGATATAAGAAAAATAATAATTTTACATATTCTTGTAAACCATATAATCCTTGATTAATTACTTTATCATCAAATTTGTTATCATATAATGTCATTATAGTTTTTTTTTTTTAAAGTTATAGAAGTAGTCTTCTTCTTCTTTTGATTTTATATAATGAAAATATTTAATTTATGTTAATATTATTTATTAATGTAGTAAAACTAAATTACTTAAATAAAATAAAATAAAATATTGTGGATAAATGTTTTACAAAATATACACACGTGTTATTTTATTATTTAATTTTTTATAATAATTAAACAACTTTGTTAGTGATTAATTAAAAAAATTAAAAACTGATAGAATTTCAGGTGCATTTAATGGATGTCTGATTTTTTAGGCAAGATATTAAAATAAAATTAAATAATGCTGAAAATAGAATGCATTAATTGTTCGTTGACGTTTCTTGTTACTAATTTTAATAAACAGGATGACTTTTTATAAATATATATATGATAAAAAAAATAAAGAAAGAACAAAACTACATACTGTCATTTGATAAATTGATATTATTTTATAGGAATACTGGAAAAAAAAAAAAGAAAAAAATCGAAAAAAAACCTTTGTCTATCTTATCATCCGAAAATTTACACTTTGCCAATATTTTTTTTTTTTTTACACGTTGCCTACTTAACTTTGCTTTTTTGTACACTTTGTCATTTCCGATTACCGCCGGCCACGTAGCAATATGACACAAAAGCCACGTGACTAAAATGTTTAAGTTTTTGTAGACGAAGCTTAAATTTTTGGATAATTAGATAGCAAAATATAATTTTTCCAAAAATATAATACATATGAATAAAGAGTTTGTGACCGTACACGTACAATACATTGATGGGGAGTGGTGGCCACTCAAGAAATCGGTGCTTGTACGGGTAAATATTGGAAGTTCGAGAACAAAAAATGCTAGAGATGTCCAAGACGATTAATATTGCCGGAAAAACAATAAGGTTAATTAGATTCTTTTTATTTTCCCACCAGTTCATATTTGGATTATTGTATATTAAGTAAATAAATATATTATATGTATTAAATATAATAATATCATATAAATAAATATATTAAATAATATACAACAATTATTAAATAAAATAAATAAATACATTAGAACTTTTAATTTTAAAATTTTTATATATTTTATTTATTAAATGTGAATTAATTATGAAATAAAAATCAGCAAATTAAATAAATAAAAAATAATAATATATTATTAAATATATTTATTATTATTTAACATATTTATCTATGTAATTATATTATATATATTTGTTATAATAATTAATATATTTATTTATTATAATAAATTATATATATTTAATATATTATTTTATATATATTTATTTAAATATATTATATCTTTTATACATTATTTAATATATTATTTATTTAATTATATTTTTTTTTTTTAATTATATTTTTTTTTTTGATTATATTTATTTATTTAAATATATTATGCATATTTGAATATATTACTTAACATATTTATTTTTTTCTGATAAAATAAGGTATAATTTTAGATACATATATATATTTCAAGTCACATTATTCATGTATTGTCTTGTAGATCAAGTAGGTGATGTGGTTTGTTTTGTTTTGATCAGCCACCTAAGTTTACAACTCAGCAAAAAAAATAAATAAATAAATAAAAGGAAAATTTCCACGTAGGCAAGTCGGTAATTCTGGCATGCTATAGGCGATCAGAGGACCAAAAAAACTAATTTTTTTTACTTATACGATCATTTCCAAAAACACAAATTTTTTAGGACCAAAAGCAAAAACGGAGTCCGATTTGAGACTAAAAAACTAATTTTAGCCCTAATAGATTCTTTCTTTATCCAAGACCACTGAGCCCGAAACCTGCTATAACTAATTCGTTTAACATCTTTAGAACCCATCAAAACCTGCTACATCTAGTCAGTTTAACATCTCTAAATTAAAAGACCATCGTCGTTTTACGCATAGTGAATAATAATAAATGAAAATGAAAATGAAAATCAGTGAATGTACACCAAATAATAATGCATCATATATATCATAACCCACTACTAATTAACTGATTAGCAAGATAATATTGTATGGTGATATATATATTGCAGGCATCTCTACCTAAATCAGTGTTACTCAATGTAGTGTTGAACTTACAACGGGAACCTATAAACTGACTGAAGTGTTCAGTTCTTACAATTTGAACTAAAACAGAAACGAAAAATTACAAAATAGAAAGCGAAAATAGCCGAGGCGATTGCTCTTTTCGCAAGACGAAAACGCCCCGTATAGTGCTGACGGGTACAGGCGTCTCGTCCCCAAATATACAACGGCTTACGTCTCGAACGCTGTAGCACACCAGAATTCGAGCTCCGACAAACTGGAATGAAGTTGAGAACAGAGCAGTATGATATGATGCGTGAGGCTTTGAGAATAATCAGAGAGCATGAAATGTTGTGTGTATCTCACTTGCAGCTCTAAGTCCTATTTATAGGA